GGGAAACAGATTTCTTTTTTTCTCTAGCCTGCCTCTGTGGGATACCTATATCCCATATCTGTGTGTCTCCCAAGTTCTTTAATTTAAAAAAAAAAAAAATCTAAAACTTGTATAGAGGGGATACCTATATCAGTATATCCCAAACTCTCTAATAAAAACCCAGCTTTCCCATCATTAAAATGAAATGCCACTGTGCGTGTCTGGTGGTGTATGTGATGTCAACTTAATCTCAGAAAAACACAAAGCCTGGGATTTTTATTAGACTATTTGTTTTCTTTTTTTTTTTGTTTAAACCGAAAACCAAGATCCATGCTTATCAGCTCCTAATGAGTTTGAATCGCATTTCGTACAAACATGCCACAGTACACTAATCTTTTTTTTGATGACCAGAACAGCCTGGTAGCCCAAAGCCTGATGCTGCCCTCGAGGTGGTTGCATTTATAGATTCATAGTGTTGGAAGGGACCTCAGTGGGCATCTAGTCCAACCCCCTGCCCCTGGCAGGCAAGAAGAGTTACCAACCCTGGGGTCATGTGATCCCAGCCAGGTGCCTGTCCAGTCTCCTCTTGAAGACTCCCAAAGATGGGGCGAGCACCACCTCCCTTAAGAGCCCATTCCAGATCCTGGCAACCCAGACCGTGAAGAACTTTCCTAACGTTCCTAATGTAACTGTTTCCTAAACCTTCTCTCTAGTAGCTTATGGCCATTGTTCCTTGTCATTCCAAGGGGTGCCTTGGTAAGCAGATTGTTGCCTACTTCATGTTGCTCTCCCCTCACGAATGTGTACGTTGCCACAAGGTCCCCTCTCGGCCTTCTCTTGGAGAGGCTGAAGAGGTTACAGTCCCTTAGCCTTTCCTCATAGGGCCTTTACTGCAGGCCTCTAATCAGGCAAGTGGCCCTTCTTTGGGCCCTCTCCAGGTTGTCCGCATCCCACTTGAACTGCAGTGTCCAGAACTGGACACAGTACTCCAGCTGCGGTCTGACCCAGTGCCGCGTAGAGAGGGAGAATCACTTCCCCAAACCTGTTTGTGAAGCACCTACGGATGCACAACGTGTGATTTGGCTCTGCTGACTACTTCATCACATTGAGACTGACACGCTGCAGGACTCGAACATAGGAGCTGCTGCAACCATTAGGTCTTCAGGCTTGTTTTCACCTTGCTCAAATCTGCTTGTATCATCCTCCTAACTATCATGAGATTAATGTTTTCTTCAGGTTGCCTTAGTTCAAATAATCTTGTGGATTGTCCTTTTGAGTTTTGGTGTAGGCCTCTTTTACAGGGACTCTCAGTATGGGCTTGGCCTTTCTGCTTGAGTTTTCACTATAGTGAAAATATCTACCATTAGGTAACTACTAATCTGAAGCCAAGCTAGTAGGCCTCTGAGCCAGGCCAGGTCTAACTCTGATAAGGAACCTCCTGATCAAACTCTGGTGTAGTTGAGGGGAGTCCTGTTTCTCATGGCATTTAGTGATGGTCTTAGGATCTTTCAGTCTCCCCAAGACTATCCTGGCTCATGCATGAATCCCTTCTATTCTATCATTACCTGTTTAGAAGGGACTCTGCTTATCACCTACTCACTAGAGCTGTAGTTCTCAACCTTTATAGACTCAAGGCACCCTTCCATAACTCCTGGATTTAGTAGTACCCTGGTTGAGACTTGCTGTGGGGCTGTCTTTAACTTGCTTGTTCTCATAGGTTTCATAGACACTTGGGCTGGAAGGGACCTTGGAAGATCTTTGAGTCCAGCCCCCTGCCCCAGGGGCAGGAAGTTG